TCCTAGGCATGGCACTTCACCTCCTGCAAGCCGAGTCCCTCCCTGGGGACAGCACAACGAATCCATTCTCTGGGCACAGCATCCCAGGCTGTCCCAAAGTGTGGGATAGATCCCAGTGCTCAGTCCTGTTACCCGTGGCCTGGAAGATGTCACCATTCCTTCTTTTCCCAAGCCCAGCAGAGCCCGGGGCGTGTGGGGAGCTGTTCCATGGGCAGCCCAGCGCCTGCTGAGCCCGCTCTGCCTCCTCCCGCTCCCTGCAGAAGCTCTCCAAGGATGTGCAGAACGCCCTGGCCAAGGCCAACAACACTGCTGAGGAGACCATCTCTGCCATGAAGACCATCCGCAGCTTTGCCAACGAGGAAGCGGAGGCAAACGTGTACTGGCAGAAGCTGCAGCAGGTTTACAAGCTCAACAAGCGGGAGGCCATGGCTTACACCTACTACGTCTGGTCCAGCGGGGTAAGTGGCTCCCTATGTGGGGCTGGGGATGGGCAGGGAATTGCTTCACATCCCAAAATGCACATGGTGCGATGGCACTATTCCGCTTCTGAGGAGCTTTGTGGGGCGAGCTCAGCTTTAATATCCGCTGCCAGCGATGCTCTGTCTCTTCGTTATTACTTTTATTCCCCATTCCTCAGGAAGTTATATTCCATTCCCCCGAAAGGCAGCGTCAAATCGTGCCACTGAACAGCCTGTTTTCTCTTGCACATGATAATGGAGTTGGTAACTGCTCAAGGTCGTGGAAAACCCCGTGCTCTGTGTTGCTGCATTGCGTGCCTGTGCCAGCCTATCTCCAGGGCTCCGGCTGGGAAACAGCCACGGCGTCGCTTGAGCTTCTGCTCAGAAGCAGATTTGCTGTGTGGAGGTGGTGGCAGGGGGAGGCTGATGGGGTTTGGGGCTGGGTTTTCTGTTTGTTTCCCCAAATTCTTTGCCAACGTTTAAGACCAGACGGTTTGGGGCTTCTCCTGCATTGGCTGATAACAAAGGATGTGCAAAAACCCTCATGTGAGGCTGCCCTTATCTCTGCACGTTCTAAGTACTCTCTGGTGGAGGGTTTGTGAGTTACGGTGCCCTCATACAGCAGTGGGAGACTTGATGGCTTCCCAAGCCTGGAAGCAAAATCAGAGCATTTTTAGCATTGTTCCTGGGCTCCCAGGTGAAGCTGGAATGTGAACTGGGTCAGCACAGATCCTGCCAAGCCGAAGGAGGCAAAACCCCTCAAAGCTGCTCCTGCAGGGCTCACACATAAAGAAAGCAAAGGATTTAGCACAGCCCAGGTAGAGTCTTTCATGGAGGGAACACAGGATCTTAAGGTCAGATCATGGCAGAGCAATAGAGAAGGAATTATTTCCCTCAATGTTTTTTTGTCTGTGTGAATTTACAGCCTGTCCCACAAACACCACAGAGAGCACCAGAGCATCACTGCTTTTCTGAGCGCTCAGGCAGCATGGAACAGAACCTGATGAATAAAGGCAGGGGCTGGTATTTGTCATATCACAACTCATCTGTCTCCTTTCTAGAGTAGGTGGTACCCCCCGCACTGATTTCAGGCAAGAGCTGAGGTTATGCTTCAGAGACTTGTACAAAGAAGGAGGATTTTTGTGTTGGCTTGATTTTGTGTTCTAAATTAAAATGTCACATTCATATACAGAAAGTTTATTTTAGTGGTGAGGTGACTGCATCTGTTGGATCATTTGAGTACAGATTATTATGCTTGAGGATGTTAGTCCACAGGAGAAGTTCATGAGATGCTCTGTTATTTCAGATAAACTCTCCCCCCTTGGCTGTTCCCCCTCTGGACTTGTGTTTGGTTGAAAGGTGCCCACCCAGCTCCCTAAATCAGCCCATGTTGGGTTGGTTTTCCATGCTCACTGCCAGGGCTGTCAGCTGTGTGCTGTCAGGGATGCTCAGTTTGGGGCTCAAAGAATAAATGTCAGCACACAAATTGTGGGCTGTTGTGTGAGTAATTGCAAATGCACCAAAACATCACTTGTCCTTGCTGATTTTTGGGGTGTTTTCTTGCTTTCAGCTGACTCTCCTGGTGGTCCAGGTCAGCATCCTTTACTATGGTGGGCACCTCGTGATCTCAGGGCAGATGACAAGTGGAAACCTGATATCCTTCATCATTTATGAGTTCGTCTTAGGAGACTGCATGGAGGTGAGGCTGGTTTACCCCTCTGGCCTACCCTGTATCAAGATGATGTTCATCTCCTAGAAGGTCCCAGGGCAGCTGCAGGGCTAGATCCAGTGTTGACTTCCCTGCAGTGCATTTCCTCCATGCTGTGGCTTTGCCCATCAGTGGCTTGAGTCTTCCCTCTGCTCCCCTCCTTGCAACCTGAACATGCCCGAAACTGCTTGTCCCCTGAAAAGGCAATTGGGACCAAAGAGATCAGGCTGGCGCTGCTGAAGGGCGGAGTCCTGGCTGTCTCCCAAGCATTTTTTCCTAGTGTGAAGGATGCAGGGATTACAAAGCTGCCTGTTAAATTTCAGGCTTCATTAAAGACTTAATTATATTACTTTTTCTTTTCTTTCTTTTCTTTCTTTCTTTCTTTTTTATTCCCTGGAATAGGCTGCAAGCTGCTGCGCTGGCAGCTCATTAGCAAGATGGGATTGTGTGTGGGATGGTGGAGCCCACCCAGGGCTGCCTTCCCCTTGTGAAGGTGTAAGCTTGGCTAATCAAGGCAGAAACCATCAAGTCGAGGTTTCCTCGCAGCCAGGAGTGGTTTTGGTGGTGCTTCAGCTTTTGTGCAGTGGCAGAGCAGAGCTGGAGGCAGCTTGCCCAGCTCTCACCATCTGTTCAGATGGCTGCAGGCTTTGGTGGTGTTTCCAGGCTGTGGTTTTGGGGTGTGTTTGGCTCGGTTTGGGGTTTTTTTCCCCTCTCCTGATGGGAGGGGCAGTTGCAGTATCAGCTGTTCTGCAGCTCTAGGTTTAATATCGAGAAGAGCAGACGTGATGGGGGTTTATTCCAGGGAAGCCAGTGTCAGCATGCAGCAGTTGTAGTTGGGAAAGTGCAATGGTAAATCCACTAGGAATCTATCCCAGCAGGGAACAGTCTTCTCAGCTGCCAAACAGTTGTCTAAAGGGTCCAGCCCCAAGCTGCATTTGAGACACGTGTGCTGGGGAATGAGCCAGCCACCCGCAGGGGCTGGTGTGACGTGCTGCGCTACCTGGATTCTCTTCAACCACTGTGTTGGGGAGCTGCTGGTCTTGAGCAAAGAGAGGAGAGGGAAGGATTTTGTTGGAAGTTTGGGTCATGTATCTCCTGGTGCACGTCCCTTCCCAATCCATGTGTTTCCTCCTTCTGTTCCGCTCTGAGTCTACCCATGCACAACTCCCTCTTAGATACCCTTTCCCTGGATGCATCCATACATCCCTTTCCATACCCTGCAGAGGGGGAAGAGCTTGCTTTCCTGTGTCTGTAGTTCATGTCAGATGATAGAAGGCTTGGGAATGCTTCACCCGTTCTCCTTACGAGTGCCACTGACTGACTTTCCCATCTCATGGGAGGGTCTCACTGTTGCCTCTTCCCTTCCAGTCCGTTGGCTCCGTCTACAGCGGCCTGATGCAGGGAGTGGGAGCTGCGGAGAAGGTGTTTGAGTTCATCGACCGCAAGCCAACGATGGTGAATGATGGGTCCCTGGCCCCGGACCACGTGGATGGGAAGGTGGAGTTCAGAAACGTGACGTTCTCCTACCGCACCCGCTCTGCCACACAGGTCCTGCAGGTGAGCCCCGCCGGCACAGAGCCTGCCCACCACGAGGCATCACGCGCCGCTTCTCCACCGCGGCGATAACCCATCCCCATCCCGTGGGAAATGTCAGCTGCCCTTTTGGGGATGCATAAAGGCAGGCCCAGTGGCACGCTGGAAACCAGATTACAAGGAGCAGTGGGTGTTTAGGGCCGACCCTTCTTACAGGGAATGAGTTTTATTAATAAAGCCTTTGTTCCCTGCTCAGGCACTAATACGTCAGCGTGGTACAGGGCTTCGTGCCAAGCTGCCTGGAACTGTTTCCATGGGAGAGGGGCTGAGGTCATGAGGCAGGAGGAGGAAGCAAGGACGTTGTTTGCTCTGCTGGTTTTAGAGGTCCTGCTACATCAGCAGGCAGATTTGAAGTGGTTTTGGAGGCTGCTTGCTTCCTCGGAGCCAGGAGAGATGGCTGATGTGGCACGTCACCATGGCCAGATTGTGTCTACCTTTCTTGCCTAGTGCCCAAGCTGCTTTCCCTTGGGAAAAGTCAGGACCTGAGCATGCATTCCCATCCATGTTGCAGAATGTGTCCTTCACCCTTCACCCCGGCAAAGTGACCGCGCTGGTGGGTCCTTCCGGGAGCGGGAAGAGCTCCTGTGTCAACATCCTGGAGAACTTCTACCCTCTGCAAGACGGGCAGGTGCTGCTGGACGGGCATCCCATTAACATGTACGATCACAAGTACCTGCACTCAGTGGTACGAGCGACTGATACGTGTATTCTAGCTATCGCCTGATCGGAGGGGATGGATGGATGGATGGATGGATGGATGGTGGTGTTGCATGTTGCTTTGGAGTTGATCTGGCAACTTCAGAACTGTCCAGAAAGCTGGAGGTGGTCCAGGAAACTAAGTTAGATAATTAGTGGGGGTGGAAGGGAAGGGATGGAGAGTGGTTTCATGGGGAGGGGGAAGCCATCCAAAACCAGAACAAAAAACATGTTTTGTTTTGTATCTTTTGGCCAACACAGTAGAAATATGTTTATGGCTGTTGGATTAATTATTATCTAAATTGGGTTTGCAAGAAGAGTTTTGCATTCCTCCAGCTCTTTCTGCCTTAAGATCTTAAAGTAAATCGTAGATAATGGGGAGTTAAACTCCTCAGGATCCTGGCAGCAAGTGGAGCACCAGAAGGGCAGGATGATTTGCCTGAGAGAGGGGTCCGGGCCCCTTGGCTCTCATCTGTGTGGCAGCACAGATGAGCCTTCATCTCCTCTGCAAGTAACTGCTTTCTTTGTTTGCCCCCAGAGCGAATGGCCTTTTCAGGAAAACCTGAAAACAATTGCTCAGAGACAGGCTGGAAAGCCAAAGTCACTGGGACTAATTTACATTCCCTGCCCGTACTGAGTGAAAATTAAAAGACAAGCTACTCTTTCAGTTTCGAAAGCCTGGTGTGGTGTTAGGAGCATGGGGAGAAGTCAATTAAAATATGACCATGTCCCACTGGCTCTCTTCATGCCCAGTTTGGAGCAATAATTTGGAGGGTTCTGTTTATTTCAATCTTGAAGGTTTGACAAAGCCTTGAATGTGAGAGTGAGCAGCAAGGGCTGTAAGGTAGGACAGGGAGGCTGTTGCTAAGCAATTAAGGGATTGCAGCAGCTATGTCCCTAACTTGCTAATTTTGGATTAAAAGATGCAGGAGAGCCCAAGCGTGATTACTGGCCTTGAACAGAAAATCAGCAAGAGCCAGGGAGAGGGTTTCTCCAGCCTGCTTGTCCCTGCGACTGGTTTCCCATTCTGAGAAGAGCAAACAGTGATGGGAATTCCTGTATCTTAGTTTAAAGGTGGGGCTCTGCTTGAGTCTTACCCAGCAGGAACAAATGCTGCTGATCTGTGCTACTGGCCAGTGCATCTTCTGCTCCCAACCCCCTGCTCTTCCCTTCCTTTCTGCAGATCTCCCTGGTGAGCCAAGAGCCGGTGCTGTTTGCTCGCTCCATTGCAGATAATATTTCCTATGGCTTAACTTCAGCCTCCTTCGAGTCAGTGGTCCAGGCTGCCCAGAAGGCCAATGCACACTCCTTCATCACCGAGTTACAAGATGGATACCACACAGGTACCAAAATCCCTCTGTTTGCACTTGGAAAGCGTTGCCTAAGGAAAACGGAGACTCTCCCTCTGGGTGGAATATCAGGCAGGTAGTGATGGACGCAGATCCCTGGCAGCTTGGCCGTGGTGTAGGGCAGCTACTTGGAGAGGTGCAGCACCCTGGCTGCCTTTTGGGGTAACTGAGTTGTTGCAGGATTCCTGAGCCCATCCCAGGAGAGTTTTCCTGCTGCCATTCTGTGGCAGTGGGGGGAGCATCCCCCACCCCATGGGGACCACTCCAGCTCCCAGTGCCTGGCAGTGTTCTGGAGACGGAGCACTGGCAGTCTCGCCATTCTTCAGTGCAGTGATCAGGAGACAAGCCCAGAACTCACCTGCAGAGGCAGAAAAGTAACCCGTGATAAATCCATAGTAATAAAAGCTGGTGTATTTGTGACAGTGGGACTTTGTGAGGAGGCAGGTCAGGCTGACAGTGGCTTGTGTTTATGGATGAGCAAAGGGGCTTCGAGTTTGTCTGATCTCCAAGGCTCAAGGACTTCTCTGCGTTGTTTCCATGAGCATCAGTCCCTCAAACCCTGGGACAACAGTGGAGAACTTGCTGCTGGAGGGAAGGATGGCAGCCTCAGGGATGTTTAGCTTATTTAAATTGCTCTGCCAAGTGAGCAGAAGCATTTACCTGGTCTTTGCTTCAGAGCGTGACACCATCCTGGTGCTGTGTCTGGGAGCTGAACTTGATGGCAACTCTTGATTTTTAACTTGACCCTTTCCTCTCTCCCTTGACTCAACAGAGGCAGGTGAAAAAGGAGCTCAGCTGTCAGGTGGCCAGAAGCAGAGAGTGGCAATTGCCAGGGCCTTGATCCGAACTCCCCCTATCCTGATCCTGGATGAAGCCACAAGTGCACTGGATGCAGAGAGCGAACACGCGGTAAGTAGGTGACTTGTGTGTTTGGGCCAAAGAGACAATCTGTGTTTGGGTGAAAGGCTGTAGCTTCACTTTCCAGCCTGTGACAAGCTTAGTCTTGACATGGTGCAATCAGAGGCTTGGGTAAGGTGCTAATTCCTGAGCAGGAATTTGCTTCCAGTGCTGCTGTAGCCACTAAGAAGGGAATAATCCTGTGCTCACAGCAGCCAACACCTGATAAACCTGATGAGATGGGGATCTCTGCTGACTTTTTTAGATGTGGGAAGTGTTAACTGGCACACAGCAACTCTGTGCAGCCTTTTAGGATGGGATCCTGAGAAAGACCCTAAAAGTGGTGCTGCAGTAGGGAGAGTAGGACTGCCTGAGCTAAAAACCCAGCTAAGGCACCAAAGAAGCTGTGCTTGTAGGAAAGGCCCTGAGCTTTCTGTGAACCGAGCTGGTTTATGTGGCTGGGATGTGACAGCTCTACCAGTAGCAGTTTGGCCTCTCTTGTTTAATGATGCGAAGGAGAACCAGTTCAAAGTTGGGGTGTGAGGACGTGTCTCCCAGTTGCAGAGGATGAATGCTGCTGGCCCATGGAGCAGAGCAGTGTGAGCATCTGATTTTGGAGCAGCCTGTTGGCTTGCAGATCCTCAGCCACGTGCGTGGTATCTGATGCCAGCCAGGAGTTAGTTTTGGCTAGCCAGGGGTGTCGGTGTGACATATGCCTGGTGGCCATCCGCCTGCCTTTAGACCTCAGTGCTATTGTCTGTCTCCTGGCTGGAAAACAGCTCTCTCTTGCTTTGCCTTGATGCACTGAGGAAATAGCTCTGCTTTTCTGAGCAGCTGCATTTACCAGGTATTGGCTTCCTTCAGTCCCTGCCAACACCTCGTGGCCTCCAAATCTGGGGTCCAACTCTAACAAGAACTCAGCTTGCAGGATCAGACCTGTGCGCATACCTGTGGTCTACCTGGACTGAGACAGGCTTTAGGTTGCAGAGCAAGAGCTGGGATGGACATGCTGGTGCTAGTAGTGCTGCAGGGAATGTTGTGTCCTCTGTGTAGCCAGAGGAGAGCAGATCTCCTGCCCAGAGGTTTCTTAAAACGGACTACAAAGCTGCTGTTCTTCCTTCCAGAGCAGAGCCAGTGACGCTCGGGCACTAATGTCTTTTCCTCCTGCACAGATTCAGCAGGCGATCTATGGCGACTTGCAGAACCACACAGTGCTTGTCATAGCTCACAGGCTGAGCACTGTGGAGAAGGCACACAACATCATTGTGCTGGACAAGGGCCGCGTGGTGCAGCAGGGCTCGCACAAGGAGCTCATGGAAGAAGGAGGCCTTTATTCCAAGCTGGTGCAGAGACAGATCCTGGGACTGGAGGGGGCCGGCGCAGACAGTCTCCAACCTGCAGCCCGGGGGGATACAGCGAAGGTGCCCGGGGGGCTGGAGGAGGAGTTCAGGATAGACCATTCTCTGCCGGCCGTGGCACAGGACGATTACAACAACGCTGCTCACAAGTGAGAGCGGCGATGGCCGCGCTCCAGACGCTTTGCTGGGATGCTGGGACAGGAGGTGGCTTGTCCACAGGCTGCAGAACGCCACCCGTTTGCTCACACACCCGTGCACACACCAACACACTATAGAGCTTCCTGCATTACCGTCCAGCGGGCAGATGCCGGCTGGTTTAAACAGGGAAACAGAGGAATTCGGAGGGAGTTGGGTCTTTAGCAATTCCCAGCGTTTCTACTGGGTTTCTTTTCTTACTACCAGTAATTCCACTCAGCTGGAACTTTTCTCCCATTGATATGCATGTGTAACTGCTATTAACTGTACTGGATGTCAAATGCATGCATGGAGGGGAAGATTGAAAACCCCTTCAGGAATTCAGGGGGTGGCTTTTGTGGCTGGATAGAAAAACTGACTGTAAACCAAGGGTCTGTTCCCACTGTCAGTCTGTGGGGCCGATCCAAAGTCTGCTGAAGTCTGTAGGGAGCTCCCTTTGGCTTCAGTGAAAACTGGATCAGTCCCATGGGGCTGAGCACAGGGAGAGTTTTGCACTGAGTGCCTGCAGGCTCAGGCTCACAACCGTTGCTGCTGAGCTTGGACCATGTAGTAACCATCCTTGCTGGAACGAGCCAGGGGACCAGGAGGCAGATGTTACTTTCAGATTTGCTCTTGGTGCTTGGTGGGTGTTTGTTTTTAAGGATGAAAAGTTTTACCATAATTGGGTTAGGTTTGGGGTTTTCTTTTGTTTGGGTTGGTTTTGGGTTTTTTTAATCTCTTTGTGTGCACTGTGCAATTGTCTGGCTCCAGCATCCACTGAAAATTGGTCTCTTACTTCAGAACCTTTTTAACTCACAAACCCCGGTGCTGGTTTGAGGAAAAACACTACTAAAGACAGGCAGAAAATACTTACAGACAGCACTTTATAAATCCCACCAAAGCTTTGTTCAGCTTCAGGCCGTGCTAGTGACTTCTGCATGGGAAATCCATCCGGTCACTTCCCTTGAAGTCCCACTTCAGCTGCCTGAACTTTCAAATGTGTTTCTTTTGAATATTATTTATTAAGTTACTTTCAGTATGAGGGAGAGAAAGAAATATGTTGCTCCTAGCCCTTTTGGGTAATGGCTCTGGCTTAGTAGTGTTATCCTGCCATAGACTGGTGAAGAAACCTATGCAGCCAGGCAGGTGCTGTTGAAAAATAGCATTTATATGGGGAAGAGAGACTTCAGACTGTGCATAGTTAAGAAATTATCTCAAGCACTTTAGCTCTCATGTTTTCTGATATTTGAATGCTGCTGCTCTTTCCTTGTCAGCAGGTTTGCATTTCTCTTGTTGGCGATGTTTTGTTTTCATTTAGTGATGTTTTACAAACTCTTTAGTGTCCTTGAGGAGGGATGCTCAGAAAATAAAATACTACCTCTGCCACTCAACATGGAGCCAATGGAGCGAGGGTGTTTTTTGCATTCAGGGTTTTCAAGGTAATGTTCATCTCAGATGATGGCTGCACACACGTACTCTCCATGTTCTAGCTGCCTTACAGGGAATGGCAAGAAGAACCTACAGCGAATTAGGTATGTAAAAGACTTCAGGATCTGACAATGGCCATGAGCCATAGCAGTAGGAATAACCCGTTTAAGAACTTGTTTCCATCCCGGATCCCATGTGGCAGTCAGTCTGTGCACTAGGGCAGGCAGCCTAACCCGTTCTCAAAGCACAGCGCTTTGTGACTGGAATCTTTTCAGCTGCCTGATTTTGTGATATGATAAAAATCTGTGTCTTGGAAGAGTGAGAGCTCTTCTTGTCTTATCTCCCTCCACTGAGGAAACCTCTGTCACGCTCCAAACTCCTCAGGTCA